CCCCCAAAAAAAAGAGACCGATTTCTACACTTAGGCGAAAACTTTTCCTAAGAAAAAAACCCAACCGAACAAACAAAAAAACCCCAACCTCCAAAAAACCAAATACGACCCCCCCCTAACATGTACGCACCCTTCTCCCTACCAGCAGATGTATAATTACCTAAAGGCTGGGGAAGGCTACGTCTGCACGGCTTCGGTTTATTTGGGGCCATAAACGGGGGTGGAGGGGTGGGGGGAGCCCCCTTTGAAATGAATACGGTAAGAAAAGCAGAGCCCTGATAAAGGAGTAAAGTAAAGCGGAAAGCTCCGAATATCGGGCTTCTGCCCGCTCCCAGGTGCAGGTTGCTGCGCAGCCGGGCCGCATCCCAAGCGCACCCGTTCCCCATCGTTTTCCTTAGGGAACCGGTCCGTCAGGCGCGGCGGTAACGCACACGCACGCCCACGGCGCACAGTTTGATTGCGCCACGTTTGCGCTGGCTAAAATAGAGCTGCTTATAGATGAGTGCTTTGTGCACGAATAAACTTGATCTTCAAAGGGCCGGCGGCAGTTCTGACCGCCCGGCCGGGGTTGATCTCCAAGCACGCACCGAGGATCTTCCCGGTGCACGGTGCCAACCTTCCCCCCCCGGGTCCCCGCTCTCCTGGCGTGCGGAGCTTTAGCTGGCAGCTTTAACTCCTAATCCAGCGGGGCTGGGGTTGTTAAGAAACGTGCCTTTCCCCCAAAGTCTTTGAGGAGCTGGGAAAATTTGTTTCCTTTTTCCTTGAATGTTTTGGGGGAAGGGGAAGAAAGGATGGAAGACCCTGTCACTCGGGAAGTAAAAAAAAAAAAAAAAAAGTCTGTAATTAGTATCCCTGAAGAGCCCCCGGCTCCTCTGGTAAAGTGATCTCAAAACAAATTTGCAGAAGTGCAGTAGGCCAGTGGAACTAAAGAAAGGGGAGAGAAAACACAAACTACAAGGCTGGATAATGAGGCTGCTGGGGGCGGGGGAGGGTTAGTGCTGCATTTCAGGAGACGGGAGGCTCAAGTCCGGAAAGCGGGAACAGCCCGAGCACCACACACTGGCTGCTCCCGTGGACGGGCAGGGAGAAAAGGGTTGAACGTGTCCGGACCTCTTTAAGTAGCGTTCCTCACCCCAGCCCTCCCGGCTCCGCGGTGATTGCCGTGCCCGCGCGCATTTCTGCAGGGAATTTGTGGAGGGTCCCGCCTGCAGAGCGCGCAAGCCTTCCCTAAGCCCCGCGTCGTTCTATTTAAGCAAAGAAAACCCCA